TTATTTAAAAGTACTTGTGTGTCGTCAACTAGCTTCCTTGGTTGATGGCTGCTCTTTCTGTCGGAACTGGAGTACTGTACATAGACTGATATTCTAAGAACTGGAAAAGTCACTCTCTGGAAAAAGATTTCTTCCTGTTCCTGCTATTGACATTGCTTGTACTTGCTCATGACTTCCTGGGATCCTTTTGGGAGGGGAAAAAAACGCTTCAAGATTTGGCCAAAAAAAAACCTTGACAAAACAGTTCCTGTAACAAGACTTTAAAAAATGCATCGAATGGCGTTAAAGAGAAACTTCAGAAAGCAACGAGAAAACAGCGCACATTACACTGGTAGGCCCAAATCCTCTTGCTGAAAATTCACCACAGCCACTTACTTATCTGTTGTGTATTGAGTTGTATAACTCAGTGTGCAACTTGTAATGTCTGCGCAAATTTCTGAACTCGTGTCATTTGCGTAACTATGCAAGAGGATTTGGGCCATAGTGGACCTGTGTTCCTTTTTGACTTCATTCCATTTCTTTGAGATGCAAAATCGCCATTCCTTTGTTATATGCACAAGGAATGTTTTTCAATGAATTCCATTACTTGTAATTCATTATTACAAAGCTCAGGATAACACTTCACCTCCGGTTCTCTCCATTCAAACCATAAATACGAAGCTAGAACGACGTCCTGCCCTTTCCCCCCTCCTTGTCCCTTTTTGACTTCATTCCATTTCTTTGAGATGCAAAATCGCCATTCCTTTGTTATATGCACAAGGAATGTTTTTCAATGAATTCCATTACTTGTAATTCATTATTACAAAGCTCAGGATAACACTTCACCTCCGGTTCTCTCCATTCAAACCATAAATACGAAGCTAGAACGACGTCCTGCCCTTTCCCCCCTCCTATTCTAGTTCCTACAATAAACCTATTTATTCCGACTCTGAACGGTCTTTGCCACGCACCTTTGTGGAAGGGTGCACACACAGAGTATTGGAACGCTGTTAGCTTGCAGATTTCAACCCTTGGAGGCTCAGAATGGTTACCTGAGCACATTTCCCTCTTTGTAAAGACAATCACGTCCACACTTCTTTCGGAGAAAGCAGGAAAACTTGTGTTTATTTGAGAAATACGCTTGGGAGTGGAAAGGGGAGAGAAGTCTGCGTAGTTCTACTTAACTAAGGTTTCAACTTAACACAGCCGGGAAAATATGCCTTGATCTTCTTTGGTCCATCGTTGTTGTTTTTTCCAATTGCGCCGCTGCCGATTCCCACGAGTGAAATCGCTGGGGCCATCTAGACCAAGAATCAGCAGGGAAGCGGTCCAGGGTCTCTGCCTGGAGCAGCAACAGTGGAAGCTGCCATTGATGGGATGAGATAGTAATTTGGAAATTTCCACTGGGACCACCCCACCCGCTTGCCCCTCCCCTCCTCCGAGGTGACCTGAAAGCATTTGCTTTGTAAAGAAACATTGCTTGGGCACCTGGAGTGCTCAGGTGTGGGGAACTGACTGGCCTGTAACCATCCTTGTGCTCCATCAGGTTAGGCCATTGCATAGGGCAGAAAGTGGAGGAAAATGATGCCGACAGATCAGAGGAAATTGAAGGAGGATTGCTGGCCAAACGAAAAGAGACCATTTCCCATGGAAAATGAGCAATTACCCCATCGGATTCCACCATCCTCTAAACTTTGTAGCATGTCATGGCTGGCTTTTAATTCGATTTCATCCCTGCCTAATTCTGTTGGGAGTTTTACCAGCCTCGCATGCTGTCTTGAAACAGGTTTGGCTGGGAGGGACCTTTCTGGACTGGGGTGTCTTTCAGTTAAGCAGTAAGCAATCCTTCCTTCCCTGCCTCTGATTTCAAATGCCTTTCTGCTCCATTTCCTCTCCACCCGTCTCTTTTCATCGGCCGGCAGTTAAGGTGTAGTCTAGAGTCTGCTGGAAGCAGGCTGTGAGTTGGTTGAGGAGACCCGTTGCTGAAAGGAGTCAATCACGTTTGTTCAGTAGGCTCTTTGATCTGTTCAACTCTGAGTGAATCTTTCGGAGTGGGTTATTGAGGCTGTAAGTGCCAGTGGATGAGAGAAAAAGGGGTGGTCTAGTCCGGGGAAACTTGAAGCTAATTCTGCTCTGTAAGTCCTTGCACTTCTGCTGCACAGCTAGAGGAAATCTGACTCTAAATTCAAAATCTGCAGCAAGTCCAACGGAAACGTCAGGGTGAACGCCTACTGTGGTCACCCCCTAAGCTGGAGAGGTCAGGGAGCCATGTTTCTTCCTTTCATCTCTAGAGATCAAAGGCAAGGGGTCTCCTCCTTGGAAGGACAAGAGAGAGGCGCGAGAAGGAAGTGACATCAGCCCCCCCCCAAGTAGGGTGAACTCGGGTCCAAGGAAGATCAGTTCAGGTCACCGCAAGTAAAGGGCAGTCTAGGAAACCTGAGGAGGTCCTCTCTGTTCCCCATGCAAAGACACGGATCTTCATGCCTGGAGGCTGAGTTGCCCCCAAGTCACTTCCAATCCTTCTAAGCTGTAGCTTCTTTGTAAAACTCTAACCCTCTCCATCCTTTTTAGGGACTGTTGCACGTAGCGCTGCTGGTGCTATTTGTATAAGTGGTTTCCTTCAGCCGGTCTGCGCTGCCCGAAAGCTTTAGCATGATATTTTATTGACTTCCCGAAGGCTTAAAAACAGAAATGGAGGCCCTTGTTCCACCGGAAGGCATAAGCAGCGAGCATCACTCCGTCAAATAAGTGTAGAGACTCCAGAGCCTGGAGGATGAAAGCAGAGGGTGGGTTTGAGGGGATGAAGCAAATGCACACTCGTGATGGATATTGGCTATAGAGGAATCTTTGGGCTAAAGCAGATGATACAGTTAACACGTTGTTAGGAGCAGGCCTCCTGTAAGAGGAAAAGACTCTCTGTTTATTTTACCACAAGCTAGCCTTGAGCCACGTTTGGCAAATTACCCTGTTTTTGTTTTGTAATGGATCCATCAGGAGACGATATGGCTTTTGTGTGTATGTCATGCAGCACTGAAATATTTGCATGCCTGGAGGGATACGTAGTACATGCCTGGCCAGGCTGGCTGGGGAACTGTAATACTGTACTTAATACAAGGGAGGAAATGTGTCAGTGATGCTTCGTCCCACATAAAGGCCCATTGTTTTCAACACGGAGGACCAGAAGTGCATTGAGTGAGTGGGGTTATCCACCATACAGCAAGAGCGAGCACAGAGAATGGAAGTTGAGTCAAAGAGAACAGGGCCATCTTCTCCCCACCCGACCATTTGTGCTGCGACAGAGAATTTAAAGCCTTACAGGAGAAACCGAAGGTCAACATTGACCTCTAAATGGACTTTTGACGTCTGGGCGCCTTCTTCGCCCTTTGCTTTTCTCCATGAAGAGAGGATGGGCGCAGGAAGGAAGCTGGTTTTTCTTCTGCTACAACAGAAAACAGAGCTGGGATCTGAGGTGTGAGATGGGAGCAATTCATACACCCCGAAGGGCTAAAAACCGTACAACAGATTTGTTTCATGTACTGTATATACCACCCCGTTGTACTTAAAGTACACTCTGGGTGGCTTCTATTATGCAGGCTACACTTCATCCCCTTCCCCAGCTGAGTATTCAATTTACTGACCTCAGAAGGAAGGAAGGAAGGCTGAGTCCACCTCAAGGTACCTGAACTTGCTGGGATTAAATTCAGGTCGTGAGCAGAGTCTTGACTGCAGTACTACAGTTGAACCATGTTGCCACCAGGCTCCTTAAAGTAGCCGTTCTGGTGCAATGAGAGGCATGTCTTTCTGGCTGTCAGATTGCAGCCTCAGCCTTGTTACGTTTGACAGCAGAAATCAAGGGGAACACAGCAGTTTTCATATTACCAAGTTAGGTTGGGGAACCAGGGTTGAAAAAAGAGAACTGACAGCAAATGAGTGTTGACTTCCCTTTTTAGAAAAAACAAAAACTTGGTCTCCCACCTAAAATAGGAGCAGCCCGCTGCGAAATTTTGAGTCCTTTGGACCACATTATTTACGTTGTCTTTTCCCGCCTCTGTTTGCTCCCCGTCAGAGGCCATGCAGGCCAGGTAGAACATCACTGTGGTGCCCCACAAGATGGGCACTCCGTTTGACGATGAATTCGCTTGATGTTGATATTTTTGTGATCGCAAAAGCGATCGCAAAACGATGTTCCCTATGGAGGAATTTTGCTTTGCGATGATTTTTTAACAGCTAATTGGCGGTTTCAAAATAGCCACCGGGTAAACAAAATGGCTGCCCACTGTTTTCGCACGGATTCCTTGCTGCACAGGCAGCAAAAATGGCCACGCTATGGAGGATCTTCGCTGGACAGTGAGTTTCAAGCCCCTAGGAACGCATTAATCTGGTTTTAATGTGTTTCTATGGGCTTTTAAAAATCGCATTACGACGTTTTCGTTCTACAGTGATTTCGCTGGAACAAATTAACGTTGTAATGCGAGGCACCACTGTATCTCTTCATCACCATGAAGCCAAAGCAGAGTGAGGGGGAACACCTGGGGACTGGAAACCAGGACGTGGGGTTGGGCTAAATAAAAGCTTTAAAGTGGCCCCCTTTTTTGGACCACAAAGACCAGAACCCCCAGGCAACATGGGACTCACAGTACCTCCTCTCAATCATGCTCCCAGCTTCTGGCAATACCATGGACTGAATTCTGATTCCAGCTGATCATCTCACTGTGGTTATTTAGGGACGTTAGGACTGCTTCTAACAGCTGTTTTACATCCATAGCGCTGTTGCACTTTAAGTTGTGAATGTTGCTGGTTAGGTGGGTTTCATGTTGGACCTCTGCGTCTGGCTCCATTCCATAGATTTCGTGTGTACACACCCAACCAAAGTCTTTTTGTATCGGAACGACCAAACACGGAGAAAAGGGGGGGGGACAGTTATTTCTCCAAAGGGGGAGACACCTGAGCTGTTTAATCTACGAGCGCACAGACCGTCTGGGGCAGGAAGTGGTCAGTGCGGTTTCCCTCGCCTGCGGAAGGGTGCTGAAGATCTGGAGGGCGTGTACGACACTGGGTCGCACGCTGAGAGGGAGGCGGTTGGGTCTCCCTCTTCTTAGGCCCGGGGGTGTGTTTGTGCGAACTTACGAGCAGTTGTTTTCTGGAGAATGTGCGGGTGGCTTGACTAGAGGGTGGAAAAGAACGGAGGAAGCAAGACCAGAAGCAGCAGCGATGTTTCAGAGAAAGCGGAGCGTGTCCTTCGGAGGCTACGGATGGTGGGTCTTTCTTTGCTTACTTTGGCAAGTCAAGGCTAGTGAGAAAGACGTAGCGGGTCTCCTGTGTTTTGAAGCACTCCTCCTGTGCTAAGCTCTTTTGAAGGCTCTGTTGCCAGATATCCTTTGATTTGGATCCCTGCCATGAGCAAGGGGGTTGGACTCGATGGCCATCATCCTTGGATTCTCAGGTCTATCTTGACAACATTTCCCTTGATTTCTGGCATTAGATATTGAGGGACCTGGGCTTGGAATTTTGTCTTCTAGGAATGACTCGAGGCTCAAGATGACTTCATGTCCGTTGGGCCGAAGGTGCTTACAGCATTCTAGGTTGCAGGCTCTTCTGGATGAGTTGGTATGTCTTGTTTTGGTCCTTGAAGAAGGACCACGAAAAGAAGCAGATTGTGACTGCTGATTAGGATGAGCATCCCAAGATGTTCCGTTAACTCTGCTCCTCCGTTCCATGATTCGAGGGGCAAGTCCTTAGGGATGCTCCGAAGAGATGAGGGGGACCTCTGGCTTATGTGCCCGACACGGATGGAAAATCCTTTGACCTTCCCATTTTTTTATTTGAAAGAGATGAGGAAGCTGACTTCCTACCTACATGCGAATGGCTGGTGTCTCCTTGGGGTTTCAGGGAGCCTTCCAAAAGTTGCTAGAGATGCAACGTGGGATTTTCTTCATGCAAAGCGTGCATCTTGAAGCTCAGCTCCTTTCCTTGAAAGATAAAGGGAGACTCTTCAGTATTTGTGGGTCTGAAATGGTGCCGGCAACCTTCAGAGGTCGGAGAACCTCAGGCACCAATCTTGGGACATTAGAGGGGCGCACCCACTGTCCCATCCATCCAAAATATTTTTTTTAATCTTTTTAAAAAATGTTTTTCACTGAAAAGGATCCTTGGTGCTTTCTAGTGATCTTTTTAATTTTTAAAATTACACTTGTAGTGTGAGCCGGGTGGGCGCTAGAAGCCCCAGACATTGCAAACCCATTTTCCCTAACTCTGTAGAGGCACATAGATTTTTCTGAAGAAAAAAGAGGGGTGCTGAAGATTCCCCTTAAGTCCCAAGGCACTAACATTTGAACCATATGCTACACTTTCCCCTGATCTTTAAAAAAAGAGAGAGAGAAAAGGAAGGAAGGATGACATACACAGAACACTGAAAACTGTGTTGTGTCAGCTTTAAGTCTGCCTGATCCAGACCCACAATGGGATACAGTATTCTCATTTCTGGCAGTCTTTAAAGGTGGGCTGTCTTTAGGTGGGGTGTAAGAATCAACACTTCCCAAGAGTTCTTGCCTACTGGTAGCTCAGGGGTTTAGATGGAGTGTTCGATTCCCCCCACTGTGCCTGCTTGAGAAGGGCTGGACTCCATGATCCATGAGATCCTTTCCAACTCTGCAGATCTAAAATCAAGCTGTTTAGGCTGCCTGGACCTGCTTCCGGCACAATTCACCAGATCTGCGAGGTGGGTCTTGCTGCTCACAAGACCGAACCTTAAGAGAGAATTCTGCTTTCCTCTTGGTTCTGAAACTTTCCTCTTTAAATTGACCCATCTTGTCACCCGCTTGGTGGTTTCCCACGTCCTGGGGTGATCTGCTGGCAACACATGGCTCTCCAAAGACCTCCCAGGAAGTGTGGCTGGCAGGAGGAAACCATGCTTGGCTTCTGGCCGGGCCCTATCCTGTGCCATGGTCTGAGAGGATGTGGCATGGTGCGGGCAGGCTTCTGGGAGGCTGTGGGAAATGACACACGAGAGGCCACTTGCAGCGTCAAGCTGCAGAAAAGTTTGGAGCAATGTATTTTATTCCCAGCCATTCAGGGGAGGATGATTGCTTTACCTGGCCCTTGACAGAGTAAGCCGGCCACCTGGTTACGCATGTTCCCTCTGCGGTGAAATGTGGGAAATGTCGTTGCACTTGTGAGCCAGTCAGCTAGTTGTGAACACATGGTGTGCTCTATTGCGGAGCAAACATGCTGAAGTACAGGAAGCGCCATCTCCTCATGTGTTTACTTGAGAGGAAGTGGCTGCCTCAATCTCTCCTCTATCTTGCTCCTCCGGCCACCATCACCTTAATCTGGGTGGAGCGGTTTGACCACATTAAATGCAACACACCCTTTCCGTGGGAAACTTGGTGCGTGGCGGGCCTTTGGCCATTGATTTTGCTGCTAGGCGTGACTCGCTTGCGGCGTGTGTGTGTCTCCGGATCAGAGCTTGGTGTGGCATGAACGATTGCTGAGAAACTTAACTCGCTTTGAGAATTTGTAGTGGGCTGCAAAAATCACCATCATTTTAGAACTACGGAGAGGGAAGTGATGGTACCAATCATCGCGTCCAGCTCCTGTCAAGCAGGCCCTGGGGGGGGGGGGAGGAATCAAACCTCCGACCTCTGGTTCTGCAGCCAGAGACCTCAACCCCTGAGTGACTGGATCAGTGCAGTTCCTTGGATTTTCGTTGACCAGAACTGGCATTCACACATAAGGGTGTTCAAAGCAGGCGAGTTCGCACAGTCAGCCTCATGGCACTTATTGGGAAAAGCTGGCTGCTCCTAAAATGTGAACTGGCATCTTTCTGGACTTGTAACTTGCCCCCATCCTGGGGGAAACAACCCCTTCATTTCTCATATGCCACAGAACGATGGGATACCATATGAACAAGCAGTTCCCAACCTTGGGCAACCCAGATGTCGTTGGACTACAACTCCCAGAAGCCTTCACCACCAGCTGTGCTACCCGGGGGTTCTGGGAGTTGTAGTCCAAGAACATCTGGAGGCCCTGAGGTTGGAAACCACTGGCTTAGATCACAAGTGGGCAGTAAAATTCCCCTGTGGACTCGTTTTAGACCTCCTTCCAAATCATTAACCCCTTACCCTTGAGTCCCAATTTAAAAAAAAAAGAAAAATTGTCCATTTTTAGTTTAAAAAAACACAACGCCCCCCCCCAATAAGGCAACTGAAACAGGGACTTCTTTTACATAAAAATAATCTAATCTATAGTTTTTTAAAAAAATAATGTTTTCAAATACATGTATATTATATCTTAAAAAATTCTAGTCCACTTGTTTTTTTTAATGTGCTGTGGATTTTCAGTGTTGTTGCAGGGTGCCTGAGGAGAAAGGTGGAATCAGGGCCACATAAATAAGGTGCACACACCACCCCAGAAGGGGAACCACTACTCTGGGCAGCGTACAGGTTAAAGCTCACAAAACCCCCCACAAAACAAAATACAGTATTTTTCCGTGTATAAGACTATACTTTTGTCTAAAATCTTTAGACTGAAAATTGAGGGTCGTCTTATACACGGAAGTAAGCTGAGGAGAGAACAAAACAAGTGGAGGGGGAAAGCAGGGAACAAAGCGATCTTGCAGCGCTTTGATCCCTTTCCCCCTACACTTGCTAAGATCCACTTAGATTTCTTAATTTTGGATTAGAAAAGTGTGGGGGGGTGTCTTATACATGGGGGTGTCTTATACACATAAAAATACGGTACATTCCACAGTATGGCCATTCACAAGTACAGGTCTAAACATCATATAGAAATGGGGGGATTTAAATTAACATTCAAATTAACAGCATCTGAGAAAACCAGTTGTTGAAGGCAGTTGCTGAAGGCAACTTTGAATGATTTTTCCCCCCACCAATTTCCTGAACATCAGGAGGGAAGGAGCCTGGTGTATAAAAATACGGTACATTCCACAGTATGGCCATTCACAAGTACAGGTCTAAACATCATATAGAAATGGGGGGATTTAAATTAACATTCAAATTAACAGCATCTGAGAAAACCAGTTGTTGAAGGCAGTTGCTGAAGGCAACTTTGAATGATTTTTCCCCCCACCAATTTCCTGAACATCAGGAGGGAAGGAGCCTGGTGTATCTCATTTGGTAAATTATTCCAGAGACTGGGGGCCACCACCAAAAAGCCTGATTCTTTGCTGTTGCTTTTTTGGCCTCCCTCGGCGTGGCCACTTTTTGCAACGTGGACGTAGAGGAGCGGGTGGAAGGGGTAGCCAATTTCTGAGAGAGACGTCCGAAAAAGGATCGAGGCCCTAAACCATTAAGGGCTTTATAGATCAGAACCAGTACCTTGAAGTGAGCACAGAAACTGACAGGGAGCCAATGAAGGCACAATACACATTCATAGATGCATACATATATATATGAAACCATAGAATAACTTAGTTGGAAGGGGCCTGTAAAGCCATCAAGTCCACACACACCCCTGCTCAGTGCAGGCATCAAAGTAGATCGGAGAGGTAGTGGTCTTAATATTCTCTTGAAGGCCTCCAGCGTTGGAGTGCTCAATACTTCCCGAGGTCACGAGTTCCACCGTCGTACTGCTCTAATAGTTAAGAATTTTTTTTCCTGATATTCACCCAAAATCTGTCTTCCTTTTGCTTGAGCCCATTATGACGTGCCCTGCACTCTGGGAGGATGGAGAACAGATCCTGCCTCTCCTCTGGAGGACAGCCTTTCAAAAGTGCTGTCATATCACCCCTCCGTCTTCTTTTCTCAAGGCTAAACATGCCCAGTTCTTTCAGTCTTTCCTCCGAGGGCTTGGTTTCCAAGCTTATTGGTTTATTTATAAATAAATAAAGTCCAGGCTTCAAAGTCTGTGGCCCCCAACTCTGAAAAGCTGCACACTTTGACTTACATTTTCTAAGACTTAAAAGAAGAACCGATTTTATCTGCCACAAGCTTTTCTGGACTTCAGAGGCATGAGAAAAAGCGTCCAATAACCATCAGCGCTACTCCACCCTTGAAGCGCCCCTGATGTTAATTCAGAATGAAATTCAGGTTTCCTGATTTTTTTTAAAGACATCCACCAAAACGGATGTCAAATGCTAAGCCTTTTAAACACAAGGAGAGTCTTGGCTGGTTTAGCTGCAACAACCTACGAAACTACTCTGATCAGAAACTTCCCACATGCTTTCTCAGAGTGAAACTCTGGTTTCCTGTACAGTAGCAAGTTCTGGATTTTCTTGGCTAGGAGGAACAGTGCTCCCCTTCCTTCTGCCTCTCCTTCCCAGCCCATAGTTTCACTGTTATGAAATCTAAGCCGGAACAGGGATCTATAAATATTTCGGCAAGCAGTGTTTCAACCCAAGCCTCCAAAACTCATGTATTCCTGTAAATCAGGGCTGAAATCTGATTTTGCTTTCGTTTTTGTTGTTCGAGATCCAGCATGTTTAGTCTGTGGCACATGGCTAAAATGAAGAATGAAAAATCTGGATCTCATGACTAATGGGCACCAGAACGGGATGGTACCCCATAGCCCACTCGGACAAAAAAAATGGTATTGTTTATCTTCCAGCTTGCACCATTTCTGTGCCATAATCAAAGACAGAAGAAGAGTCCTTTTATATTTGCTAGTGGTTTAGGTCTTTGGCTGCAGAGCCAGAGGTTGGGAGTTTGAATCCTCCCGGTGTCTCCTGGAAGAAGAGCCAGCCTGGATGGCCTTGGGCAAGCTGCACAGTC